ATAATTTCAAGTAAGAATAAAGATAAGAGAGAGAGAGACACGCAAACTTTAACGAGGTTCGAAGGTGGGGTAATCCTTCTACGTCCTCAAAATCCACTATGTAGTTGGTTGTTGAATAATGGACCAACAATTACACTTGTGTGAATTTCTGCACGGTATATCTCCACAAGACCAATGTTGCTACTGCACTCGTGCTGGCTTTGTTGTTCCTTCGAAGGTCAAGCTTCTTCAACAACTGCAAGATCCGAACAATAGGACTTGCAAGATCAACTTGTAAGAGAGTTGACCTATCCCCTTTTTAATCAATAAGTTTGATCAAAAGTAATATCCTTCAACGTGGTGTGGTGCTTGAGGCAAGGAAACCTTCAAGTGTTTACACTATAGCTTTTTGGAAGGATAAGAAGTTTGCTTCTGGATAAGGAGTTTAGGAATCTCTCTTTATCAAGCTTTTTGGGCTAACTGTGAATGAGATAGCTTTAGTGATTGCTTCGTTGTGTTGTTGCATCAGCGTATCTCATCATGTACTCTCCAGTCTTCCAAGGAAGCTATTTATAACTGGATTGGATAATCTATCCGTTGAATCATAATAGACTATCCGTTGCATTTGCTCGCTTCAATTTTGAATGAAGATTGTGATTTGAAGATTCTCTGTTGACGTGGGCATTTGGACGTACCCAAATGTTGAGAAAGGATTCCTTTTTCCGCAAAATCCGTCTTCTAGCTTTTGTTCAAGAATTCAAGACTGTAGCACTTTACTCTGTTTGTCTTCTAGTGCTTGTTTAGGAATTCTGGGCAGGCTCTTTAATTTTAGATGCCCAAACTTTGTCTTCGAGCAATTTGTTCTTGAATCAGCATAATTATCTTCAATCTAGCCGTTGAAAACCAAGAGATTGATTTTTCCTTGCCAACGGTTAGAGTTTTCTTCATTCAGGACTTAGATAAATTTTCTAAGTCTTTTCTCACTTGTCCACTTTCTGAGACTTCCGGTCTTCAGTGAGTCTTCCGATTCTTAGCTGACAAATCCGGATGAGCCATTTTCAGACTTCCGGATGAGAAAGAGATCCGCGCTAGTCTTCCGATTAGCCTTCAGCGGGTTGTAGCGGGACATCCGGTTCTTATGTAGTCTTCCGGATCTGAGAATTTTCATCTGATTGAGAAATCCTTACTTGTTTCTGATACTTCCGATCAAGATATCCAATTTTTCATATCACTGAATTTGCTTAAGTCTTCAGGCATCAAAACGCTTAAAGAGATATCACAGTTTTATTGGAAATCTCAAGAGCTCGGTTTTGACAATATTTCTAAAAAGAAAAATTACATTGAATATTGGGGGAGGCTTAAGGTCCCTAATACATTCTAAATACATCATCATCAAAATCTATAATATTTTTCCCAACAATTTCCCCCTTTTTGATGATGACAAACAAGTGTTTTAAGAGTTCCGGTCGCTGTACTGAGAACTAATTTTATAACTTTCTTTTAGTTTCTCATAATATACAGCTTGTTAACAAAAACTCTTAAACAAATACAATTCAAATTAGAATAATTCCTAAACCAAGTCTTGTCTTGAGATTTTGTGATATCTTCCGCCATTGACCGTTTTCAGCTTCAGCAGATTCTGCTTGGCAGAGCGGTTGGCGTTGCGTTTGATAGATCTTTAATATCCAAAGTGGATATTTAAGATCTTGGAAGCAACACATCTCTCAAAATAAGAAGAAAGATAGAAAGAGAGTGTTGTTCCAGAGAAGGTGTATGGTCTAATACTGAAAAATACGAGATTTCCACCATAGACCTTCTCTACTGCCGAGATTCTCACCATAGACCTTAAAAGTCTTTTCTTCTCAATAGGCTTCTTCCATTGCCGTCTATGAGGGTGAGAAAGAAAAATTTCTTCATTGAGGGTATTTTTCTTGGTGTGTTCCTTAGACAGTGAGTTTGAGGACTTTTCATATTGAGGGAGTTGTTTGTGAAGGAAATGGATTGAGATATCTTGATTTAAATAGGGGAGGAGGAGGTTCACGGGTTCCATTAAGTGGGTAGTTGGAACGGTGAGAGTAAATGAGTTTCAACTTCCAAGAAGTTGAAAAGCAGA